TGCCTCCAGGTAGATGTGATCAGGAAATGGGCTTCCTTTTTCACTCTTCTTTCTGAGAAATTTCAAGATACCACTGTTGGTCGTTTTGACATAACTTAGGATTTAATTTTTGGCCTATTTCCTCTTTTGTCTGCTTGTCCCGCTCCACAATCCCCGTTCAGGCTTTCTTAAAACTAAACATATGACCTAGTATTAGGTTATGAACAAAATGAAGAAACAAAAAAAAACCCACATCATTGAATAGTGGAGAGAATCACTCCCCATCTTCTCCTTTTTCCAGCTCTCAGTAACCAGTAATCGCCTCCAGTAGATTTTCTTATTTCTTTATCCATCATCCTCCTAGCCCTTTTATGCCATACCTCATCCTTAGGCAACCACTAGTTTACTTTCTGTCTGTATTCTGAACATTTCATATAAATGGAATCATACAGTATGTGGTCTTTAATGACGGACTTCTTTCACTCACCGTCTTGAAGCCAGTTCTGCCAAGATGACCTCTGTAAATATCTAACACTTGCACGATATTAAGTCTTTTCAGGCTAATATGGCTTTGTCCAGAACTGTCTTATCAAAATAAAATGTGTGAAAGCACCATCATATTAGACCATGTAAGAATTCTTAATTTCTTAAATTTTGAAAAAATCTTCACTTTTATTTAGGTATATATGAATGTGAACTCTTCAGACAATATAAGTTGTTAATTATCTTACGTTGGGTTTTTTTGTTTTTGTTTTTTACTTTAAAGAATCTTTATAGGTTATTTTGACTTTATTCTAACAGGATGAATTAAACCTTGCTGATTCTGAAGTGAATAACGAAAAACGAGGGAAGCAGCATTATGAAGACAAACAAAAGGAACACTTGGATACTTTAAATAAAAAGAAAAGAGAACTCAACATGAAAGAGAAGGAACTTGAGGTTAGGCACCTCTAGTTCTTGCTTTTCACTTTGTTATGTTTACAAGTTTAATCATTATTTAAGTGTATTTTGCTTAATCTCATAATACTTCTAAAAACAGAAACATTTTCTGAATATTTATTTCCTGTAGAATAACAGGTGGCAGCAACAGTGGCCTCAAAAAGTTGTGAGAATGGTACAGTACCAGTCAGTGTTTCTTTCTGTTATACGTAGAGTTGCTGAATTGGAACTGACATGAGGAGACACTTAATAATAGCAACACTCAGCTAATGCAGCACCATCCTTTTGCAATTAATATTTTTTACTGCTAACTGAAAGGTTGGTGGTTTAAATATACCCAGAGGTATCTTGCAAGAAGGCCTGGCAATTATTTCTGCAGAGTCAGGCATTGAAAGCTGTAAGGAGCACAGTTCTTTGCCACATATTATAACACCATGAGTTGGAACTATATGTGAACTGGGCTTTTCTTTGAGTATCTGGTATATGGACTTCTTTGAGTATCTGGTGTATAGACTTCTACTAGAAGCCTTTTTTACAACTATAAACAGTCGTTTGTGTTTTCAGAGAATAAATTGAAAGCAACCTCGTCTAAATTTGAGATGGATTCAGACTTTTGCTTTTGTGTACTTCTTATGTACTAAGAAATGATTTAAATACTGTAGTCCCCCAATGCCTTATATGTTTTGGACTTAAAAACTGAATATTATGAAGATCAAATAAGTATTTGGACATATTCCTTAATGCTTTGAATTCTTCACAGACACGAAGGTCTTTGTTGTTTTCAATTTCATTAGAGTTAAGAATTAATTCTCAAATACACAGAAAACTATACCTGCTTGCAGTATACTGTGTGCAATCTTTTTATAACCACTACTGGAAATTTGCTTCACTGAGAAATTTTGAGGCTCTTACAGTTTTATTAAAGTTATACACAATAACGCAATTTTTTTCTTGAAAGTCTATGACTTTGGACTCTGTTTTCAATGTAAAGCTTATATAAATGGCATTGATATTAAATGTAGTTAAAATATACTCCTTAATCATAAGGTCAGAACTTGGGTATGTATATACTGACACAAGTAATTTACAATGAATTAGTAAGTCAAATAAGAGTATTAAAGATATTAAACATCTCTTGTATCAGGAGAAAATGTCACAGGCAAGACAGATCTGCTCCGAGCGGATAGAAGTAAAAAAATCTGCATCAATTCTAGACAAAGAAATTAATAGATTAAGGCAAAAAATACAGGCAGAACATGCCAGTCATGGAGATCGAGAAGAAATAACAAGGTAAGTGTTTGGTTGCTTTTCTGCTTTTTAAATATATTTGTTGTGGTTAAGTGCCAACGAGTCGGTTCTGAATCACAGCGACCCTGGATAGGGTTTCAGAGGAGTGCCTGGTGGATTTGAACCACCAACATTATGATTAGCAGTCTAACACTTATCCTACAGTGCCACACCAGGACTCCTTTATTATATTACTCATATATAACCAAAAAATAAAAAATATTTATATTTAAATCTTATATTTGGATGGAACCAACACTTGTCTGTCAGTTGTCGTACTCTGGTGGCTTGCGTGTTGCTGTGATCCTGGAAGGTACATTATGGGTATTTCAAATACCAGCAGGGTCACCCACGGTGGACCGGATTCAGATGAGCTTCCAAAAATGATAAGACTAGGAAGGAGAGACAGACTACTTCTGAATATTTAGTCACTGAAAACCTTATGGATAGCAGTGAAACACTGTCAGCACCAGAATTTTGAATACTGAAACATAATAAAGAGCGTCAGAATATTGTCAGATATAGAGCCAGAAGATGAACCCCTCAGGTTGGAAGACATTCAAAATATGACTGGGGTGTATACTTCCTTAAAGTAGAGTTGACCATGATGACACAAATGAAGTAAAGCCTTTGGGACCTTCATTTGTTGATGGGGCATAAGCTCACAATGAAGAGAAACAGCTGCAAACATTTATTAATATTCACAACATGGATTCTACAAGTATGAATCTAGGAAAATTGGAAATTGCCAAAAAGAAAATAGAACTCATAAACATCAAATATATGCTATGTATTAGTGAGCTGAAATGAACTGGCATTTGGCCATTTTGAACGTGAAAATCATATGGTTTAGTATGCCAGGAATGACAAATTGAGGAGGAGTGGCACCATATTCAGCATCAAAAAGAGCATATCGAGATCTATCCTGAAGTGTACAACGCTGTCTGTGATAGGATAATATCTATCCACCTACATGGAAGACTAGTTAATACCACTGTTGTTCAAATTTATGCAGTAACCACTAAAGCCAGTGCATGCAATCAAGATGTATTCAAAATTACTGGTGATTGGAATGAAAAAGTTGGAAACAAAGAGGAAGGCCCAATAGTTGGAAAATATAGCCTTGGTGATAGAAATGATGATGAAGATGGCATAACAGAATTTTGTAAGACCATGGAGTTCTTCATTGAAAATAAGTTTTTAAACAACATAAAAGACAACTGAACACATGGACCTCACCAGATGGAATACACAGAAATCAAATTGACCACATCTGTAGAAAGTGACGGAAAAGCTCCATATCATCAGCCAAAACAAGGCCAGGGGCAGATTGTGGAACAGACCACCAAGTGCTCCTATGCAAGTTCAGGCTAAAGTTTCTAATTTTCTTCAAATTAAACCAAGTCCATGAGACTCAAAATATGACCTTGAACATATTCCACCTGAATTTAGAGATCATCTAAAGAACACATTTGATACATCAGACACTAGAGATGGAAGACCAGAAGAGTTGTGGGATGATATCAAGAACATCATACAGGAAGAAAGCAAAAGGTCATTAAGACAAGAAAGAAGGAAAAGGCCAAATGGATGTCAGAAGAGACACTGAAACTTGCTTTCCAGTGTTTCAAATGGAAGAAATGAGGAGGTAAAAGAGCTGAAAAAAAAAATTCAAAAGGCAGCTTGAGAAGACAAAGTCAAATATTATAATGTATAAAGACTAGAAAACCAAAAGAGAAGAACACACTCAACATTTCTCAAGCTGAAGGAACTGAAGGAAAAATTTAAGCCTCAACTTGGCTGTATTAAAGGATTCTAATGGGCAAAATATTGAGTGATGCAGAAAGCATCAAAAGAAGATGGAAGAAATACAGAGTCACTCTACCAAAAAGAAATGGTCGCTGTTCACCTATTTAAGAGGTAGTATATGAACTAATGTTCTCCCATGTAAACTATCACATAATTCACAATAAAACATTAAAAAAAAGAGATAGTATATGATGAAGAGCCAATGATCCTGAAGGAAGAAGTCCAAGGTACATTGAAGGTATTGGCAAAGAACCAGGCACTAGGAAATGATGGGATATAAATTGAAATCCTTCAACAAACTGCTGCGGAACTGGATGCACTCATTCATCCATGCCATGAAATTTGTAAGAAAACTAACTGGCCAACTGACTGAAAGAGATCTATATTTGTGCCCATTCCAAAGAGAGTTGACCCAGTGGAATACAGAAATCATCAGACAAAATCATTAATATCCCATGCAAGCAAATTTTTTCCAAAGATAATTCAAAAGCAACTGCAACCAGACATTGAAAGAGAACTTCCTGAAGTTCAAACTAGATTCAGAAGAGGATGTGGAACAAGGGATGTCATTGCTGATGTCAGATGGATCTTTGCTGAAAGCAGAGAATACCAGAAATATTTTTACCTGTGCTTTATTGATTATGCAAAGGCTTTGATTTGTGTAGATCATGACAAGCTATGGACAACATTGTGGAGAATGTATTACATTAGGCAGATCTGCTGCACACAACATCTTTAAAGTGTTCAAGATCAAAGATGTCAGTTTGATGACTAAGGTTCTCATGACTTAAGTCATGGTATTTTCAATAACCCCTTATGAATGTTCAAGTTTGACAGTGAATAAGAAAGACCATAAAAGAATTGATGCATTTGAATTATGATGTTAAAGGAGAATATTAAAAGTACCATGCACTGCCAAAAGAACAAACCAATCTATGTTGGAAGAAGTACAGCCAGAATGCTCCTTGAAAGTCAGGATTGCCAGACTTTGTCTCTCACACTTCAGACATATTATCGGGAGGGAGCAATCCGTAGAGAAGGATATCTTTTTTGATAAACTGGAGGTTCAGTGATAAAGAAGACCTCCAATGAGATCGACTGCCACAGTGGCAGCAGCAAATAGACTGAAGGTAGTAACGAATGTGATGTTGATGCAGGACTGAACAATGATTCATCCTGATGTGGATAGGGTCACTTTGAGTCGGTTCCGACTTAATGGCACCTAGCAACTGCAACAATTTTGATGAAGTGTTACTATGGCAGACAGTTATAACTGAGCTGCTATTGTGTCTTTTTCGCTATAAACGGTAATCTTTTGTTTCATTATAAAACTGACTATGGAGTGACATTTGAACATAAATTCAATTTTTATACCTGTAGGACTCCTGGTGTCATGCTGTAGAATAAGCACTGGACTTCAAAGCATGAGGTCAGCAGTTCAAATCAACTCTTTCCTCCTCAGAAACCCTGTTACAGGGTCATTATGAGTCACAGTCACCACAACAGAACTTAACAACACAAACTTCATTTAGACAGGAAAATGTTAAGCTTCATGAGTAATCAAAGAAATACAGATAATTAGATGATTGGAAAACATTTTTCAAATCCTTCCCATTGAATAAGATGGGGCTGCATTGCTAACCACAAGGTCAGTGATTGTAATCTACTAGACACTCCTTGGAAACCCTATACAGGGTCACTGTGAGTCAGAAGCAACTCCACAGCCCTTAACAACAACAACAGTATTTTCAATGAGATTTCAATAAAATAAATATTTTTGTTTATTACTGCTTAAAAATAGAAAACTGATAGCAAAACAGTGAGCTTCCCAGCTACCAACTGAAAGATTAAACAGTTCAAACTTACCCAGTGACACTTCTAGATCAAGACTTGGAGATTTGCTTTCGTAAAGATTACAGCTTAGAAAATTCTATGGTGCCCCTTCCAAGACTAAGATTCAATGGGAATACATGCTCTGATTGGTGACCACGCTCGTCACCGATAAGGGGAAGTGAGGGAAAAACAACAATGAAGTGGCGAGCTAAGCCCTACAATGTTCAATAGACTCCTGTGAACCTGGGTGGAGACCTGGGGACTTTTGGGCCCAAGGTCAGTGCCATAGCCATAGAGGACTAGAGTGGAGAGTGAAGCGTCTAGCTGATAAGAAGAAGGCATATGTACAAGAACACCCGCACTTGCAGCTAATACCCACTTGACCTGGCTCCAATGACTGGATGATCAGAGCTCAACCAGAAGAAGAAAGAAGAGGAAAAAAAGAGTAATCTGATACAATTTGATGAACTTGACCTATACCTATGAATGCAGTAGCTCAAAAGAGGTAACAAATCTTTACAGCAAGGATCATTCCCAGCCCCTCCATGCACAGAGTAGACAGGGATGGGCAACTTGGACATTGGCTACCCAAAATAGGGTGGCTACAAAGGCAATAAGTGACTGGCTTACAAGTTTTCAAGAGGGAGCCTAGATCCAAAGGGCATGGAGGAAGATAGAATCTCCACTGAGTAGTATCCAATCTGTCTAGGTGGGGCTGATGAAAGGAAATGCGGATAGGTCTCTTGTGATATAATAGTAAATAATTGTTATCAGGAGTGATTGTGAGGGTTGGAAATATAAAGGTGGACATTTTATAGCAAGGAGGGGAGTGATTAACTTTGAAGTCTAGGAGCGGAGGTCCCTGGGACCATCAAGGGGGAAGAGCGAGAGCGGGACCGTACCCAGAGATGCAGTGATGCCTGAGATGGAGGCAGAGATGATGACGTGGAGAGATGGAGCAACTGGGGACTTTAGACCCCTAGAGGGAGAGGGGCTGTGTGCTGACCACCGGGAGGGCAGGCTTGTAGTGTATACCCTTTGTTTGGTTTATAATGCATGGAGGGGATTGTAACCATGGCAGTGAAACGATATACGATAGGATGAATGTAAAACTAATGTTCTCCCATGTAAACTATCACATAATTCACAATAAAACATTAAACAATAAGAAAAAAACTCTGGTGGAATTTTATTCTGTCTTATGGGGCACTGAGTTAAAAATGAACTCCCCAGCACAAAATTTAGAGTACACGTCTTACATGAGAGTATTTGGGTTTGAATTTCAGTTCTTTCCTTACCTGATTGAGTATCTTCACAAGGTACCTAGTCTCTCTAGACTAATTTTCTTATCTGTAAATGAACATAATTATAATTCTTGCCTTTATTGAATTACTGTAAAAAAAATTAATGAGATAATCCATGGTTTTTTATTGTTTGTTGTTAAGTTCCGTTGCCTTGGTTCTGACTCATATCAACCCTGTATAGGGTTTCCTAGGAGTGGCTGATGAGTTTGAATCGCTGATTTTGTAGGTATAAAAGATAGAACACTATGTAAGCTGTTTTACAGATTGTTTAATGTATTTTAGAGATCTGTTATAGTTTGACAATATTGAACCATCTTGGTGTGGCGCTGTGAGATAATGCGCTGGATTGCAAAGTCAGTTTGAACCACAAGGTTGGCAGCTCCAGCTCCTCACCAGTTACTTCTAGGAAGCTCTATGCAGGGTTACTATGGGTCGGAACTGATTAGATAGCACTTAACAACAGCAACAACAATTGATGAATAGTTGGGTTTTTATCTAATCTTTTGCTATTGTAAATGGTGGCACGAAATTAATAACTTAAAACATGCAACGTTTTCTATGTGTGTAGGTTCATCTATTGGATAAACCCTATACTGCTAAGCCCTCTTTCTAAGAGTTCATGTTTTTGTTTAATTGCCACAAAATCTGGGTACTACAAGTTCTCACTCACTTCCTCATCTTGTGTGGTTATTACCTTCTGCTGTTTACCTATCTATTCTTTAGAGTTCTTTTATTTATTTGTTGAGTTCATTAATTTCTGATTTTGAGGGATTTTTTTCTGGGAGCATTTGCCTTATGACTTTATTTTTCATTTATGATGTTTAATTGTAGGTTTATCTGTTTTGTGACAACACTATTCTAGTAAGTTTTCATTGTTGATAAGAAAATTTTTCTACTCTTCTGCACTTTTCTTTCATAACTATCTTTATATGGATGCTATACTTAGGCATTTTTCATTACTCAGTTTTTAATTAGTTGCCTTTCCCTGGTCCAGTTATTTGAAGGAGGGTTAATTAGTTGCATTTCCCGGGTCCAGTTATTTGAAGGAGGGTATCAGCAGTAGCTATGTGAACATTGGCCATGGTTGTTGCCTTTCTTACTTTATTATTCACCATTATTTTGCTCCCTTGCTATAGAATAGCAACAGAATATTGCCATTCATATTAGCACTGTTGAGTAGCCATGCCTTCTCTGCCTCTTTGACCTTATCTTGATCAGGAAGCAGTTTCTAATGCTGACGCAGCATCCCTTAGTGGGATTTGTCATTAAGGGAAATAATTCTTACATGGTGAGGCAGTAGATAACCTAAAAGGTCAGCAGTTTGAACCCACTGGCCAGTCCATGGACAAAAAGACAAACCTCTAGTGATTGTTAAGATCACAGCATGGGTTGTCCTGGACTTGAGAACTGGTTCGGTATTGGAAAGGGACAGGACTAGCGAGCTCTGTCTCCTTGCAGAGCAAGACAAAGACCAGCAAACAAAAATTTTCAGCAAAGCATTAAGTTTACTATAGCAGAGCGTTCCCACAATGCTCCCAGAAGAGTGGGGACAGTTTTGCCTCGTGTATGAGGATAGATGCCTTAGAGTCAGGAGTTTGAGCATTAAGTATGATAGTTCTCTTCCTGGTTTCGAGTGCCTTTCCGCTAAGGGCAAGGCTGATGCCAACCTTCACTACACAAGCCACAAGGCTCATCCTGTGTTTTTGTGGTTTTTGCCATTTCCCCCTTGTTCTTGCCCACTAATTGATTGTTTGTTGGCCCTTGATGGGCTAACTGCCCAATTCCTACCATGCCCCCTTCCTTCTTACCCTGCACCTGTCAGTGATCTGCTCCCATAATGATTACAGTCTTGGAAATCCTACTGTCAGTTCTGTTGTATCCTATAGGGTTTCTGTGAGTTGGAGTTTGGTTTATTTTTTGGTTTACCAATATTGTCACTTCACTTTGAGGTGTGTATTTGCTGATAATCTCTCATGTCTACCACTATTAAACCCCAACTGAGCATTTTCCTTGTGTGCTTTCTCTGCCTTCTGTAGGGCTTGGACTTCTGTCCTCCCCAGCCTTGCTGACAACAGTTCTCACTCTGGATACCACTCTTATTCTGGGACTGCAATTTTACTAGAGATTTCTGGGATCTGCTACGGCTAGGCTTCCTCAACAACCTAGTCTACTCCCTGTTCTTTCTCATTTAAATGTGTTTGAGATTTTTTTTCTTTTCATTGTGTTTCATGGAGTGGCATTTATTTACTTAATATTTTGTTTACAAAATAGGCAGTACCAAGAAGCAAGAGAAACCTATCTTGATCTGGAAAATAAAGTAAGGACTTTAAAAAGATTTATTAAATTACTGGAAGAAATAATGATCCATAGATACAGATCATATCAGCAATTTAGAAGGTAAGTGACTTAAAAAAATGTGACCACACTTAAAAAAGATATAGCCACTTATTGTATATTTTTGTAGTTTCTTTGTTTTCATATTACCCTTTAAAATATGAAAAATTAAACTAAAATAACTGTACATGATACATTTATAGAAGAAACTGCCAGTACTCACTTTGTCAGCCAGTACTCTGCAAACTAATTTAATCAGACTTTAATTGAACTTTTCCATTCTGTTAGATATTCTTCATTAAAGAATTCATAAATGGCTGTTGAATCTCTGCTTAAATAAGTCCTTTGAATGATTAAGCTCATTGGTTCTAAAGTATACTGTTTCACTCTTGGACATTGTATCTTATGGGATACAAATGGCTTGTTAGAACCTGTTTAGTCAGTATATCAATTGTGACACTGTAGAGTAAGAACTCCACTGCAAAGTCAATTTGAACTGCAAGGTCAGCAGCACTTAACAACAAAAACAACATTATAAGAATGGGTAACGTGGTGACTCCATACAATAAGCAATGGACTGGAATCTACAAGGTCTACTGATAGAACCCACTAACCGCTCTACAGGAGAAAGATTAGACTTTCTGCTCCCATGAAGATCTGAAGTCTTGAAAACCACATATACAGGGTCACTGTGAGTCGAAACTGATGTGGCAGCACTTAACACCAACAATTAGGATAAAGTGTGCAGTGGTTTCATATGATAAACACTGAACTGTGGACCACAAGGTCTGTGGTTCGAGCCCACCAGCTACTCCATGGGAGAAAAATGAGACTTTCTGCTCCCTCTAAGATTTACAAGTTTTGGATACCTTTATACAGGATCACTATGAGTTGGAACTGACTCAACAGTACTTAACAACAATAATTAGAAGAATGGGAGCATGATGACTCTGGAGGATAAGAACTGGACTGTGAACCACAAGTCCAGTGGTTCAAGCCCACCAGCTGCTTCTCGAGAGAAAGATGAAGCTTTCCACTCCCAGAAAGCTCTACAGCCTCAGAAGCCTTATACAGGGTTCACTGTGAATCTGAACTGACTCAACAGCACTTAACAAATTAGAAGGATGAGCGCTGGTGGCACTCTGGATTAGAGATTAGATTGCTAACTCTAAAGTTGGTTGTTCAAATCCATCAGCTACCATGTGGAAGAAAAATGAAACTTCTTGTTCCTGTTAGGATTTATGGTCTTGGAAACCATAACTAGGGTAGCTGTGAGTTGGAATCGACTCGATGGCAGTGAGTATTTGTAGAATATGCTTCCTTTAATACAGAAATTTTGTTTTATTTTCTGCTATGACTCCAGTGCCTAGAACTGTGCCTGAAATATAGCAGGAATTTGATATATCAGGAAAACTAGATATTTTTAACATGCCCAAAGATGGGCAGATTACATGGATAGACTAGACCGTAACTAGAGTTACAAGCAAAAGAAACCAAAGGACAGTTTCTAGGTAGAGATGGCCCTTAATATATTTGGATTGAAGACAATCTAGTCTTTGCATTTTTCCATGGAGCCATTGACCCAATCACATGCTCTTTAACTGTCTGTACCCAAAGTAGAAGGACTGTAGAAATATCTGGTTCCTTGGGGAAATTCAGATAAAGCCATTAAAAGAAACAAATCTTGCCCTTTGGCCATATTCCTTAACTAAATTGTCAGTTTTTTACATTTGTATTTCAATAATAGGCATATAATTAGTATTTTAATTAAATAGAATTAATTTTTGTTCTGTTTAGGCTACTTTTAAGTTTTGTTATGGAGTTTCAAAGCGACCAGTAGGCAAAGGCTAGTTCTTTCCTATGGCTGAGGGAATACTCTTCTGCATATTCTGTCAGTTACCTTGTGCATTATAAAGTTTTCCACTGTAGACAGTAGGAACTTGACCATTTGTGGTTCTGTGTGAGCTCAGGGTGTTGTTCCTTCTACTTCTTGACTAGTGTCCTCACATACAAGCACTGAATGCTCAAGCAGGATCCTGGGTAGATACTCCAGAGTTCTCTGTGAACTCTTTCCTCTCTCTTGATCTGCCTTGTAAACGTCACTGTCTTTAGTCTCCCAGCTTTGTCTCCTCAAACAAGAAGACTTCCAGATTGCTCTTTACTCTCCACTTTACTTTTTTCCATACGTAGTAATCTGGGGCAGTAGAAAGATTCTTCTTGTCTATTCCCATCTTTCAGAGATCATTGTCTTATGTGTCTGATGTCCAAAGTGTGAAAACTCTTGTTTCATATATTTTCTCCAGTTTTTTAGTGATTTTAGACTAAAGAGTGTAGACTGTGAGCCGCAAGGTCAGTAGTTCCTCAGAAACTCTATACAGGGTCGCTATGAGTTGGAACCGACTCGATGGCACTTAACAACAACAAAGACTAAAGAGTAAATCCAATTCCTATTACTCCACTTTTTCCAAAAGCAGAATAAGATTTGTTTTTTAGATCATTATCTATAAAAAAATTATTTTAAATAATTTACAGAGAAATACTGATTTTATGGTTTATTTTGTTAATACGACTCTTCACAACTGCAGATACTATTTACCCAAATTTTAGGAAAATACTTCTAATGAGCAAATGTTTTAAATCTTTTATCTCTTTACATCAAAGGACCTTGCCATTTTCTGAGGGCAGTCTTTTAGACATTAAATGAAATACTTATCAATGTTGGGGGGGGCGGGTTAAATTCTTGATATTATGAAGCTTATTGTTGTTAAGTATGGGAGCTAAAAGCATGCTTTTACTGTAATAGAGAGTTCTGAAACTAGCTAAACATGGTTGCTCTAGCAACAATTGAAAACTCAAAGTTAATCAGTGTTTTCTAGTATGGGCATTTAATATAGATTGAGAATTAAAGGAGGAAGTTGGGAAGGAAAGGAATAAAATGACTCTGAAGAAACAAGCCTTCAAACTCATTAAAGAACTAAGATATTAAGAAAATATATTCACCGATAGCCTACACCTTATTTTCTAAATACTATTCCCTGCTAAAAGATAGCAAGTCTCCTTAGAGAAATAGTTATTCCAGAACTTGCCTAGGGAAAGTGCAAGGTGAGCCTCTTACTATGTCGGGGAGTAAGAAAGTGCTTTAAATTGTAGGGTCATGATAAAAGGACACCTGAGTCATTTCCAGGAACTCCCATTGCAGAAATCCAGTGTGATTTGAGGGTCTAAAGACATGAAGAGCAGCAGCAGCTGAGAAGTAGCCCTGGTGGTTCAATGGTTATGTATTCGGCTACAAACTAAAAAGTTGACAGTTCAAACCTACCAGCTACTCCACTGGAAAAAAAAACTAGCAATCTGTTCCTTCAAAGATTATGACCTAGAGAATCCTGTGGGAAGTCAACTCCGCGGCACACTACCACAACAATAAATGTTAGCCAAATCAATAAAATAAGAATCTGTAAGTCCATACTGATAAATTAGTTAAGTAAATACATATTTGAGGAAAAGGGAAAGTTGTTTTTCCCAGTAGAATGCCACTGGTAGAGAAGAAATGATGAAGTTTACTTTGTGCCAAAAATTAAGTCTCTCAAGGGCAAGATTTATGTCTTCGATATTAGTGTAATTGTTTGTATTGTTGTTAAGTGCCTTCGAGTTGATTCAACGCATAGTGGCCCTGTATGGGGTTTCCAAGGAGTAGCTGGTGGGTTTGAACCTCCAACCTTGTGGTTAGCAGTCCAGTGCTGATCCTACAGTGTCAAATTAGTTGACTGATTATACATTCGTATGGACTAACTATAATATAATGGCATTAATTAAATGTGAAATGGCTTCTTTATTTTATAAATATTTATTAAAAGAGTAAATAAGCTGGTAGAAATATGGGGACATAAAGGCAGCTCCCTGGTTGGAAATGAGAGCTGCTCCTAACTGTACCTTTAAGAATTTGTAGGCCAGTATGAACCCGGTACATATGGTTCTTATTTAGTCTTACTTTAAAGTACAAGAAAAGGCTCAAGACTTTTCAAAAATTTAAAAACTACACCTGCCACATCTGAAGGCAATTGTGAACAATAAATTGTTGTTAGTAGGAATTGGTTCAGTCATTTCAAAATTAGGTCAAATTTATATAACATGAAAGCAGAGATTCAAAGATTATGGCACCCTCTCAAAGTTGGTGACCGACCCTGCTGCTTTGGATGTGTGTGGCTTTCCACAGCCCTACCAAGAATCTTATCTCACATAACAGGTTCCCACGAGAGCCCTTTATGCCTCTTTCAACTATCCCTTTCCTAGACTTCGACCTGGAATTTGCCGAGTTGCTGTGATGACACCCCCCAAATTATGAAAATTCTGGTCTGTTTTTGCTTCATCTACCATGATAGAACTGGTTCGAAGCCGTAATTAAAGAGCAAATTGGAGTTGTCTTTAAATTGGATATTTGTAATCCAGGGACTACCTTTACAAAGGAATGTAGAGATGTGCTGGTGATAATGGTGTACCATGGAGTCAGTTCCAACTCATAGCAACCCTGCATAGGATTTTCAAGGCTGTAAAACTTTATGTGAGCAGAAAGCCTCATCTTTCTCCCTTGGAATAGCTAGTAGTTTCGAACTACAGACCTTGAGATTAATAGCCCGATTTTTAACCACTACACTTACCAGAGCTCCTTATAGAGATGTAGGAAGACATATAATCTAAAATCCCACAGATTAAATGTGCAACAAATGTCAACATTTGGCATACTTTTGTTTAGTCTTCTTATATGGATTTCACTTCCTTAGTCTTAGATCATGTTGAATATATAGTTCTTTATCATCTTCTTTTTAATACTACCACATTTCTTTTCTTCAAGGTGTTTGACTTTACGATGCAAGTTATACTTTGACAACTTATTATCTCAGCGGGCTTATTGTGGTAAAATGAATTTTGATCACAAGAATGAAACCCTTAGTATATCAGTAAGTATTTTAACTTGTTGCATCGTAATTTTTGGGAAAATTAGCTGTTTCTTTTTTTTTTTTTTTTTTTTGATGAAATATAGGTAAGCTTTAACCTGTTGTATTTAATTTAAAATAAATTCAAAGGAATTTATTTTAAAGTTAAGGGTAGTTCTTGCCAAAATGTTAAAAATTAAGTTGATCTTACTGATTAAAACTACTAGTTTAGTTTATTATGTTTTTGTGTCCCAAATGATCCAAGTTATTTTATTATGATGTAATTATGATCAAGTAATTATGATGATAATTAGGGATTTTCTCTTCAGTGACAGGAATTTACCTTTATTTCCACAGCAGTAGATTCTGTTGGAATTTATGTAGCATTTTAAATTATGAGCATCATTATAGACCCATATTCTCTCCTCTCACTATAGGAAGGAATGAATACTTCAAAGAATATTCTACCCATGTATTTGTATTATTAACTTCTGAAAGTGTCCCTAGATCAATTTTCATTTTGAATAAACATAGTCACCACATTCCTATGGAATTCATAGCTATAGATTCTCTTATAGTTAAATGCATTGAAAAGGGGGATGGGAAGATACGGCATCAGAAATTGAGTAAGTTAGGGAGTCAAAAACTATTGTTCTTATGGTAAGTGCCATCATGTCGGTTCTGACTCATAGAGACCCTGTATAGGATTTTCGAGGTGGGTTTGAACAGCTGATTTTGTGCTTAGCAATACAATGCTTATCCTACAGGGCCACACAAGGACTGAATAATGTGAGCAAAATTTTCTAAGAATTGCTTACTACTCGGTTGTCATACATTTTATCCTTACATTTTAATACTTAGAATAAATGTTCTAACTGAATTAGAAAGTTAGGTTTATTAAATTTCTACTAATCATTAGTAGCTCCCACTTTTCTTTCTTTCTTTCTTTTTTTGCAGGAGACTCAGTCATTAATGATACAGATTTGAAAGGATTCTAAAGAATTCTCTTTGTAGATAGAAATATAGTATGTCATGATAGTCAAAGTTCTAGGTGCAAACTATGAGAAAGCAGATAAATTATTAAAAATCTGTCTTTAAACACATTGGAAAGCTGTAGAAGAAGAAAAAAAATAGATGAATTGGAATCCCAAGGGATGAGGAGCCCATCTAAGATAATCTGAGGATCAAATTATTTTATTATGATGATAAGTAGGAATTTTCTTTTCAGTGAAAAGTATTTACCTTTCTACTCCAGAAGCTTTTGTTTTAAATATATGCAGCATTTTAAATTATGCACATCATTATAGACAATCCGTAGACATTCCCAGCACATGGACTTGCTGAATGCTTCCTGTCCTGGTGGTATTTGCCAATTGTGAGCTTTTGAGGAGGTCGCAAGGAAAAGGAAAGAAAAGACAGGGAAAAGGAACCTCTTTTTGGTGGAATAGTTTATTATCCTCAATTATCACTTGCAGTTATAAGAAATAGCAGATTGATAGCACTAAAGAATAAAGCACTTTGAGTGCAAGATTGTTGGTGGTTCACACTCACCAGATGTTCTTTGAAAACCCTATACAAGGTCAGAACCAACTCAACAGCACTTAACAACAATAACAACATCTTAACCATGATTAATGTTTTAAAATAAAAATGATAACAAAATGGAGAAACGTTTCAACAGAGAATTGGACAAATGTTCCAATAGAGGATTGGAATTTATAAGAGTACTCAATAATGCTAAACCCATTGTGAAATTAATACCGGCTCACAGTGACCCTAAACGACAGAGAAATAGACCTGCTAGGGTTTCCAAGGCTTTACAGAAGCAAATTGTCATGTTTTCCTTCCATGGAAAGAGTTTTGGAATACAACTGGACACAGGAGATGAAATTAGTAAATGGAAAGCAGATCAAAAGGAAATAAGCAAGTTGAACAGCATAAAAGCAAAATATTGAACCAAGCTTAAGAGATATGTAATCTTAAAAGCACCCAAAGAAAAAAATATGCACTATTTTTTTCTAAGGAACATCAAGAAAATTGAATACGTTTTTCTAATAGAAATTGTGATTATGTATCGAATAGTACCAAAAAGTGAAATGCAAAAAAAATTGACTGAAAACTACCTAACAAAGCTGGGAGAAGATTTATTTTATTATTTTTTTTAATCTTGAATAAATGGAGGCATATACCATGTTCATAGATTGGAAGACCCACTTCTTGCCACAATGATTTTTGGATTTAATATAATCCCATTTAGAATCTGTGGGGTTTTTGTAGAAATTGACATGATAATTCTAAAATGTATATGAAAATGCGTAAGACATAGGCTGTCAGGTCTCTATGAAGAGCACTATCACACATCCAAACTTATTCTAAACCTATACTCATTAAGGAGCTCTGGTAGCGTGGTGGTTACGAATCAGGCTGCTACTCTCAGGGACAGCATTCTGAAACTACCAGCTGTTCCATGGGAGAAAGAGGAGGCTTTCTGCTCCCATAGAGATTTACAGCCTCAGAAACCCTGTACAGGCTCGCTATGAGTTAGAACCGACTCCACGGCACATAACAACAACAATAACAGACTTATTAAAGACAGTGTGGTATGATTGACATAAGAATGAGCAAGTAGATATAAGAAATGTAATACAAAGCTCAGACACACACCGTACATATGTATACCTTGTATACCTGGTATACAAGGACTTCACTGTAAGCCAGTAGAAAAAGGGTGGTCTTTTTCTCAGTTGTTGTGTTGTTATGTGCCTTCGAATTGATTCTGACTTATAGCGACCTTGTATAAGGTTTCTGAGGAGCAGCTGGTGGGTTTGAACTGCTGACCTTGACAAATTGGATATTCTTTTTGTAAAATAAATCATAAAGAAACTTGGATCCTACCTCATATTTAAAGGATAATTTAGGGGTTTCCACCTGCACAAAAAACGTATCAGAATTCATGCCTCAAACTATACCCTCAAACCAAAATACATCAAGGACCTAAGTGTGTAAAACTTTGTTGTTAGGTGCCGTTGAGTGGGTACTGACTCATAATGACCTTTTGCACAGCAGAATGGAGCACTGCCTGGTCCCGCACCAGTCTCACAATCGTTGATATGCTTGGGCCCATTCCTGCTGCCACTGTGCCAGACCATCTTGTTGGGGTTTTCCTGTTTTTTTTGCTGACACTCCACTTTACCAAGCATAATGTTCTTCTACAGGGACTGGCCCCTCATGACAGTATGTTGGAAATATGCGAGACAAACTCTGGCTGTCCTGACTTTAAAGAGCATTCTGGCACAGATTTGTTTGTTCTCCCAGCAGTCCATGGTGCTTTTAATATTCTTCTCCAACATCGTAACTCAAATACATCAGTTCTTCTCCTTTCCCATGTGAAATAAGCTATTAAAAATGTCATGGCTTGGGTCACGCACACCTTAGTCCTCAAACTGACATCTTTGCTCTTGAACACTTTAAAGTGTTTTTGTGCAGCAGATTTGCCTAATGCAGTACACCTTTTGATTTCTTGATTGCTGCTTTCATAAGTGCTGATGGTAGATCCAAACAAAATGAAATCTTTGCAAACTTTCATCTTTTCTCCATTTATCATGATGTAATTTAATGCTCCAATGGTGAGGATTTTTGTTTTCTTTACATTGAGATACAACCCATACAGAAAGCTGTGCTCCTTGATCTTCATCACTATTTTAAGTCCTCTTAGCTTTTCATAAACAAGGGTGTATCATCTGCATAGCACAGGTTGTTAATGAGCCTTCCTCCAATCCTTAGGCCATGTTATTCTTCATGTAATCCAGTTTCTCAGATTATGTGCTCAATTTACAGATTGAATGAGTATAGTGAAAGCATACAATCCTCATGCACACCTTTTCCTGATTTTAAACCATTCAGTGTGCCCTTGTTCTTTTTGAATGATTGTCTCTTGAACACAGTTAAGTGTTCTGGAACACCCACTCTTCACAGTGTTATCCATACCTTGTCATGATCCACACAGTCAAAAGCTTTTGCATAGTAAATAAAACACAGATAAACATCTTTCTTATATTCTCTGCATTCAGCCGAGATCCAGCTGATGTGAGCAATGGTATCCCTCTCTCCACATCCTCTTCTGAATAAAGAGTGCTATGGAAGGGGAGAAATGGATGGTGTCTATTTTTTGCACTTATCCATTGCTGGTGGGAATGTAAAACAATACAGCCATGGTGGAGAATAGTTGAGTGATTTCTCAAAAAGTTGAAAGTAACCCAGCAATCCCAATCCTGGGCATATATACCTATAAGGAGTAAAAGCAGGGATGCAGACACTTTACACCAGAGTTCATTAAAGCACCGTGCACAATAGCCAAAATTTAAAAACAACCATTGTATCCATCAAGATACAAGCAGATAATAAGCAAAATGGGGTATTACTTAGCCATAAAGATAAGAAAAGTCTTGACGCATGTCACAAGAAAACATTATATTGTGTGAAATAGGTTCAAAGGACAAAATAACTCTTATTTTTCTTGTTAATACCATCAAGTCAGTTCCAATTCATAGTGACTCTGGTTAAGGTTTCCCAAGAGTGGCTGGTAAGTTTGAACCACTGACAGTGCCTAGTAGTCCAGTGCTTATCTTACAGTGCCACACCAGGACTCCAATATACTACAATACCACTTATAAAATCAGCAATTATGTAGTTTTGCCAAGGTGGAGGGAGTTTGAAAGTGGGAGCTTTTACTTTGTGAGGGGCACTGAGTTTACATTAATGGAAGTTAAATAATTTAGAAAAGGAAAGTGACAAAGATTGAACAAAATGCATGTAATCAATGTTTCATATAGGTGTGTAAGAAAATTGTTAAAGTTTTATTGTGTATATGGTATTTTCACCACACACCAAAGACATTCAGCTTCTGAAAGAAGAAAATTATCTTCGTGTTCTTCTGTAAAAGTTTTTAAATGAGATGAAAACAGTAGTAACCAATGATTAAGAGTTGAATTGTTAAGTGACGTCAAGTCGCTTCTGACCAATAA